ACCTTGAAGTGTCCGGCGACCTACCCAGTTTCCGGCGAAGAATCCCAGAAACCGGCGATCTTCCGGCCAACTTTCGATTAAATTTCCAGATTCCGGCGACATTTTCCAGAATCCGGCACCGGTGTTCTTCGATTTTTAGAGAGAAGGGAGAGAAAAAGGGAAGAAGAGAAAGAGAGGGAGGAGCGTTCTGCCGAAAAACGAGGGGATTACCTTTTATACCCTCCTAAAACGACGTCGTTTTGCCTTAAGTAACCCAGAGGATCGCGCGTTTTGCCGAAACCGACCCGACTCGGGCGTCGACCCGCTTTCTGACCCGCGCGTGCCAGCCCCCCTCCGAGCCGAGCCGAGCTGAGCCAAGCCGCCAAGCTGCTCCCCCGAGCCGTTTTCTCTTCCTTGAGCCGAGCCGCGATCCGAGCCGCTCCAGGTCTTTTTTTTTTTTTTTTGAATTTTTTTATTTCTTTGTTTATTTGTTTATTTTATTTTTTATTTATTAGATTAGATTTATGTAATATTCTTTTTTTTATTTTTTATTATTCTATTTTCTTTAAATAAAAATAAAAAATTTCAAAAAAAATATTTTTAGGAAAAAGTTGAAAGTATCAATTTTTCTCAGAAATAAATTTAAAAAAAAATATATTTTTAGGGAAAAGTTGAAAGTATCAATTTTCCTTAAGAATAAATTTCCAAAAAAATATTTTTAGGGAAAAGTTGAAAGTATCAATTTTCCTTAAAAGAAAAATAAATTTCCAAAAAAAATATTTTTAGGGAAAAGTTAAAAGTATCAATTTTCCTTAGAAATAAATTTCCAAAAAATATTTTTGGGAAAAAGTTGAAAGTATCAATTTTCCTCAGAAATAAATTTCAAAAAAAAATATTTTTAGGGAAAAGTTGAAAGTATCAATTTTCCTTGAAAATCAAAATTTCAAAAAAAAAAATATTTTTGGGGAAAAGTTGAAAGTATCAATTTTCCTTAGAAATAAATTTTCAAAAAAAGGGTTTTTGAGGAAAAGTTGAAAGTATCAATTTTCCCTAAAAAAAAAATCATTCTTTCCTTCCTTTCTATCTTAATTTTGATTTTTGTTTTTTTTTCTTTAAATAATCCGACGACGGAGCCTCTGTAAGTGAAACAGTAGTTTTTCTTGCATACTCTTGAGGTGAGGGAATTTTCTCAATTTTCTGCTAAAAGTATTAGAGTCAATTGAGAATAATTTTCAATAATTAATTACTTGGTAAAATTTTAAGGCTTTTGGATAACACAAATTCAAGCTGGTACCATCTTTTGATGGGCGTTGTGAGGGTGCTATAACCTTCCTCACACGTAACCGAACTCCCGAACTCTGTTCTGGTTTGTAGACCTGAACCTATTCTTTTAGGGACCCTTAAACTTAAATGTTCCCTAAAAGGACAGATTCCATAGGTGACCAATCGCACCTAGACAAAAAAGATTGGTGGCGACTCCCTAAAGTCAATGTCTAGGGATAGATCCCCGGATCTAGACGTTATGACATTATTTTTTGACAACTATGTAGGTAGAAAAACTACATTGAAAGAGTTTGTTAAGCAATATGAAATGGCTTTGCAAGATAGACAAAAGGTAGACAACTTTGCTGACTTTACAACATTGCATAAGAAACCGAAATTAAAAACTCCATCACCATTTGAGAAACAAATATCAATGTTGTATACCTATAAGGTATTTAAAAAGTTTCAAATTAAAGTTTTAGGAGTATTTAGATGTTATCTTATGAAAGAGAAGGAAGATGGGAAAATCATAACATTCAAAGTCTTAGATTTTGAAGAAAAATAAAGACTTTATTATTGAATGGGATACATCAATGAAGGAGATCTCTTACCTATGTCGTTCATTTGAATATAATGATTTTCTTTGTCATCGTTCATTAAGTACTCTTCACTCCTTGTGTTTAACATCTTTACTAAGGATGTTAAAACCAAACACAATAGGGCAAATATGTGTAAAAAAGTGCTATCAAATAAACAACATTATGATCAGTTGTTTCAAGGAGCCATTGAATTGATTGGAGAAGGCTTCCAATCTTAGGAAAGCTACAATGTTACACATAAAACATTGGGGGATGTCTTGAAGCATTACTTAAGCATTAATCATTCCATTAAAATAAGTACTAACTCTGCATGCGGAGCTAATGAATATGATATTCATAAAGCAAATATTGACAGTAACATATTGCCTAGGACATTGATACTTGATCCCCAAGTGTCAAAAACAAAAGGAGCTCCAAAAAAAATTAATCATGGAATTGAAGAGAAGCAGAAAAAAAAACGCAAGGAAAAACAATACAGTTTCATATCATTAATTTGATTCTTACTACATAGTAATATTTTTTAAAAAAAAATAAGATTCATACTATTTACAATTATGTACTTTATGAATAATTAAATTTTTTTGTTAGAATATGGTTTACAAAAAGAAAAACTCCAAGGATGGAGGAAAAAAACTCTATATAGATGTGGTTATGAGTTAACTAATATTAGTGATACTAAAAAATAACTTTCATTTCTTATAACTTTTCTTATTACGAAATTTATAACATTTTTATATACTTTCTAAAATATATTACACTGATGTTTAGTAATTCAAATGCATATCACATATGAATCTTATCATGGCCAGCAAAGGATAAATGATTGGTACAAATTATTGCTTTATATTATGTACTATATTTGTTGTTAATCAATAAGTATACAAGTTCATAGACAGATATAATGTTTAATTATACTTTACTTATTCAAGAAACATATATGTATAGGTGTTTAATTTCTTCATTGTTTTTTTTTTTATTTTATTTTGATGCATGTTCAAGGAACAAAAAGGTCAACAATATTATATCAATATTATCCATATGAATGTCAGTCCAACAATTTTACACAATATGGTATATATCTAAACTTAACTTTTTATTGTGAATTAAATAATTATTACTTCATTTTAGATTATAATTACCAATTTCTAGTGGCAGCTATAACTAACATGTTAGGTAGTACCTCAACATTGAATTGGACAACACATTTGATAGATGAAGAAATATTTGAGGTATAATTCTATGACATTGTTCTTATTTATAAGATTTTGTATAATTACTTTTATTGACTTGTTAATATTTTAAATTGCAAGGAAATTTCAAAAAGATTTATTGTTGACTAATCTCTTTAAAGATTTTTTTTTTTTTGTAAATTTAGCATCTCCATTTATAAATTTCCCAAATTTAATAGTACCTATTAGAGAGATATTTTGATATTTTGAATATAATACTATGGTGGAATAAAGATATGGAGGATGCAATAAAAATTTTAGTTTATTTCATTTTTTTTTGGTTGCTTAGTGGTGGAAAAAATATTTGTATGGTTTGTTACGCTATGATTCAATAGAATGTTAGTATTATTGAAAATTTTATTATCTACTTGAAAATTTAATTGATAGTATAAGAGCATTTTTTAAAAAAATTTCTTATGGTATAAAAAATTATTTGCTATTTACTTTTATGGTTACTTTTGTTTTTTTTGCACTTGCCACATGATTAATTAATTTATTTTTTGAAGATTATTTTGGTCAGTATTTTTTTTTTTTTAAATTTGGACTTGGATAGGTCATGCTCAATTACTTGGTGATTAATTAATATTAAAAATTAAATTGAGTAAAAATATTTTTTAACAATTAATAATAGTTGAAGAAACAAAAAAAAAAAATGATAGACTCAAAATTTAATGTAATCATAAAAATTAAAAAAAAAAAATTGAGATACGTTTGATTATGAAAAGAATTGCATTAAAAAATATTACGTAAAAAATGATGAAGGAATAGATTAAAAAAAAGTAGGAATGAGATATTTTAGTCTAAAATTTTGGATGAAGTGAAATGATATAACATGAGGCATTTTAACTTTCACGTAACAAAATGTATATATTTGAGATTCGAAACATCTTAACAAATAACCGATTTCCAATTTAAAAAACATGATGCGGTCAATTCTTACATCGAGTGTTAAAAGGACCTGTTCGGACGAGTGTCCCTAGAATTCGCCTGCCTTACCCTGTCCTGCCTGAGATTCTTTTATGAAATGATAACATGTAAGTATAATGACAACTGGCAAGTAGTCGAATTTAGGTTGAACATTTCATATCTAAATTATTTTGAATTTAGATATTTTTAAATTTAAATAAATTTAATTTTGAGTTAAAATTAAATTCAAATTAATCAGGTATTTTAAATTTTATGTAAAATATTATTGTTTCGTTTTTTTTTTAGTTTATTTTTTTCGTTTAAGTAATTTTAAAATTGAATTTTATAAATTTAAATATTTAATGGTTATTTATCGAAATCGATCTAAATTTTAAATTTAAATATTTTTACAAAATTTTGAATTTGGAATTATTTTTGATCACGTTTACTTGAAAAAGGAAACATTGAAAACATACTATTATATTAAGTGATTAAGATTAATTGTTCTTGGTGGTTTTTTTTTAAGTGGATTCATAAAAAAGAAATATTTTATTTGATATATTGTTAATATATAAATTTTTATATTATCAATAAATTAATAATATTATTTTATTAATAAATAAATTAATAATATCAATTTTATAATGAATAAATATTTTTTTAAAATATTAATTTTATGTATTATTTTTAAAAATTAATATGTATTTATTAGATAAAATATCATCATTTATTTATTGATAATATATAAAATTTATATATTAATAATTTATCAAATATAAACTCAAAAAAAATTTATATTTAATATATTATTAATATATAAATTTTATAAACTACTAATAAATTAAACGATGCATCTATATGAAACCCTGAAACCCATCCCTTGGAATACATCCCAAAAATAAAATTAAAAAAAAAAAGAAGAAGACACATACACTCTAAAAACAAGCTTGGCGTTTAAAGGAAACAAACAAATAAATAAATAAATCCACCCACCTACCCACCCACCAAGGCACCAACTGTTTGTTTCTCGGCTATCCGAGAGAGAGAAGGAAAGAGAGAACAAGGTTGTCTTTGGCTAGCTTTGGAGCCGGAGGGCATGGACACGCACGTGCCCAGAAATCGAAATGAGTCATGGACGGACGAGAAGCATGTGCACTTCTTGAACTCCATGGAGGCATGGTTCGTCCGTACAATGCTCGGGAACAAATATCGCTATAATCTCCGTCTCGACCCTCACCTGCCAGACAGCTCTGAGTCAACTCTCGATTACAAACAGAATATTCAGATAAGAAAAAAGCATGCCACTTCAGGTAATGTTAACGTTCTTGTCGTCGACCTTGTTTTTTTTCTTGTTCACGGTGCATTTGGCAACAGTATTCTCCTTTTGTAGGATTTCAGGGTTTTAGTTTTGAGCTGTGTTAATCATGGTTCCATCTTCCATTCCATGGTGCAAAATGGTGAATTTTAGCATAACGCAATTGTTTTTTCTATAATCTTTAGACCTTTCTTGTTTAGTGCTTTAATGTTTTGTTTTAAGTTCCAACGCCTGGAAGATTTTTTTGGGCATTTCGTGAATTTTTTTTTAGAGGTTTGAAATGCGTTTTGACCAGCCTTCCAAACACCACCGAAAGAATATGCAAAATGTCGGATATGCCTGGAGATATTTGTAGTAGTGGCCCCTTGGTTTCTTTTTTTTCCCTTTTAAGTATTCTTTGTCTTTGGTCCATTTTGGCATCCCCGCAGCAGATTTTATTGGCACTACTAGAAGCAAAATGAAGGGCACGCCTAACAAATGTTCAAGGAGACCATCTCAGCCGCCTGACTCGTCACAAGATCAGGTGGGTCACACTCTCGACCACATGTAGATTGCACATTGATCTTTTTATTCATGATCAGATTGTTGAAAATCAAGTTAGCTGGCAAGTTCCAATCTTTACAACAGTTTGTCTTAACTCTTCTGACATTCATGAATTTTTAGTCTTATGGTAAATAAACTTCTGTCATTGCTTTTTTTCTCTCTTAATTGCATGTGTGGGATTCAATCACTTTATCTTTTCTCTACCATCGAAATCCCCATATGTAATGACTTCTCAGGTGGTCCCACAGATTGAAAACAGAACAGGAGATATATAAAGATGAGAAAGAACTTCCCAGTGTATGCCAGTTGCATCCATGGCACCAGCAGATTGATATAAAGATTTATTCTTCTTTGTTTTAGGACTTTTTTTTTTATTAATTTCTTTTCCATTGTTTCTTTGCTTTATGTGTAGTGGGTTTCTTAGTAGAATAGCAGCAGAGTGATTTGTCAGTGAATGTACTATGAAAAATGGTTGAATTATGCTAATGGATGTGTCCTTTCTGCCCCAGAACATTTCTAGTAGTACTTTCCAGGATTATGACAGTTTTGAATTTTATTTAAGCATTTCAGTCAGAAATTGAATTTTAATTATTTAAAGTTAGAATTATTAATAGATTATACGAGTATTGGATTATAGACTGTCGGTAAGTTTTTTCACTTAGTTATAAAACGCCCTTTTAGACTTGCATTTAGGCCAGCTGATTCATGAAAGGTATTTTTTACTATATCTTGCTCAGGATCCTTTCGCTCTTAAAAGTGTACTACTCCCTATGATTATACAATGTTGTGATTGTTTTTATATATACTCGAATTCTTTATTGAAAAGATCACAGGAGATGGCGACAAGGATAAAGAAAGGAGGGACTTCAATCTTTGATCTCTCAGGCACGCCTAATTATCATCCTGATAATAGAGTTCGTTGTTTTATCTCTTCACAAAATAATACCTTACTAATTTACATATATAGTACATATATAAAAGCCTATCAGATGAAGTTAAAAGTGTATCTTACCCTATCTGTTGCAAGCGACCGGTGCATGGCAATGTTTTAAGCTAACTGGGCATAACTTGAATTTTATAAACGTCAATGGGACAATGATCATGTTTTGGGATCTCAACAACAGAAATTACATATTACCAAATATGATGTTTACCTGGAAGATTTTTATTTGGATGTGTTTGGTGCAATTTGTAGTTAAATTCTCGAGTTAGCTACCATCAAATGACTTGAGGTTGCAGGAAGAAAAAGAGAGGGCCTCTTTCATTCCTATTCAAATACTTTTCACTTCTGTTTGAAGAATTTAAATGGAAATTAAGAAAGCAAAAGAAACAAGTGAATGTAAAAAAGAAATTTATTATCAGAGCATGGCTCTTCATGCACAAACTCAAACCAGCATTAATAATTAACAAAATTATGTTTTTCAGTTCATTATTAGTTTTCAAAGAGGCAATAGTTATTTCTAACTTGAAGTTAATCTAAATGAAAGAAAATAACTTTCCATTGCATTTGAGTCCTAAACATATTCCCTTTTCATTCCCTAAGCAATAATTGAATGCTTCATTCCTATTTCTATTATTTTCAGATTATCATCACTAATTTACATTTATATTTCCCTCCCTGCAGTAATTGTTACCCACCCATTGTGAGAGAAGAACAAAAAAATGCTTGTCTTACAGCCCAGAAAAGTTATCAGGTTAATGGTAAGAGAACTGAAGCTAGTCTTAAAACAATCCAAATGGAAAAAAACCTAGCTTCCTGAAGCAAGGATCTTTGATCGGAAGTAGGTGAGGGGCATTTTCAAATATTTGTAGTTCTAATCTCGACCTAACAAACTTGTGCACAAATGAACTTCCAAGGGGTTTATTTAGAGGAAATACATAAAGTCACCGATTTAGCTGAAATCAAACAAACTTAAGATGAAGAAATTGAGAATCGATCTGCAACCATCAGTACTAGCTTTTTCAGTGAGTTGTACCAGTATTAGAATTCCTCAACCTCAAGGCAGGATTGGGAATAGTGTCCTCTTTTGAGTGTGAGAAGTGTCAGTAGAAATAATACTGCGTCGGAGAAAATGAAAAGATGAAAAACAGGGAAAAAAAAATTTAACAGTCAAATGTTGGACTCCAAGGCCCAACCGGAGACATTTACTACTTCATTTCCTTTTTTTAAATTAATTTTTTTATAAATTAAATTCGATTATATTATCTTATCCCTTCTTCTCATCCTTATATTTGTTTGGATTTTAAATCCAAAATTAAAAATAACCTTTTATATTTAAAAAATAACACGAGAAGTCAAATGCTTATATAGGTGAATCAAAAACAAAAACATTTATAAAAAATAAATTGAATGCTATTATAATCAAATCTAAATTTATATGATCTGTTAGTACGGGACTCTTAATTTTAATAATTAAGATTTAAATTTTGATAATTTTAAATATGAAAAAAATTATTCATACAAGGAGAAAAGGCCTAATTCATAGAGCCAATAGGGGAAGGCAGATTTTTTATGTAGCATTTCTGTTACAAGGTACAACGTGGACAGGACGCACATATCAGTTGGGCTTCATTGAAGTCAAGGCCGACAAAACAAGGAAACAAAACGACCCAAAGTCCAAACTGCAAAACTTTCCTAGCATAAACATATTCCCTAGTTCCACGACAAAACCATCGAGATGTCTCAATCATTTCTCTCGACGCTCCAAATTCCTTGGAGCAAACAAGCAATGTTGCCTTTCTTTCAAGTTTACAAGAATCTTATACTCCAAACCTTACTCTCTTTGTCACTCACTTTAATCCTTACATTCCTTAAAATCCCAATTTTCTTTTTCCAAGGTCTCTACACTTACATCCACCCTGAAAACGTTGGTCACGGTAACAACGCCTCTTCTGGTGTTAGAACTGCTATTCCTAGACTTTCTGGCTCGGATTCAGGACCTGGACTTGATGGTTACCAATCTTTGTCATCAAGGAACAATGCAGAGCTCAAAAAAGAGGAGCAAATCTAAAGACATGTTCGAGTTCGATGAAAACAATGCCCAGATCTTCAGGCTGAAACTCGATGATGGTTACCAATCTTTGTCATCAAGGAACAATGCAGAGCTCTAAAAGAGGAGCAAATCTAAAGACATTTTCGAGTTCGATGAAAACAATGCCCAGATCTTCAGGCTGAAACTCGATGAGGGTCCTCTTCAAACAAGGCTTTTTTTCAATGGCTATCACAATTCTTTTGTTTTCTCCTTTGTGGGTATTTCTTGTTTGTTGCTTTGGAAGTATTTAGGTGAGTCTAAGGGTTCCGGGGTTTTGGCAAATGGGAATTTGATTCCGGTTATTTTTGGATTTATTGGTTTAACCAAAGTGTTTTAATCACTTGCAAATATATCGTTTGAGAAATCTGCTTCTAAGAGGTCGGAGAAGCAATTTAGTGCTATTTTTGGCGTTGTGAGGTTTCTTATACGGATTATGATTTGTTCTGGAATTGGTTTGTTCTGGAATTGGACCGTCGGTTTTCGATTTCCATTCGATTCAGTTGAAGGGTCTTGGAGGATTTTCTTTGCTGTTTTGGTGGGATTCCTTGCTGGTTTTTTTATATGCCTGCTGGGAAGAATGCTAGGTCCTTTTGGCTTGGCACTGATCAGCTTAGATGTAACATGTCCATAATTTATTGTGGATGGTTTGCTAGAATGATTTTATATGCCAATTATTTGTTAACTTTGTTCACAGCTTTACTTTGGATTAATCCACTAGCTGAAATTCTTGTTAACAAGAATACTTCTGATGGTAGAGGAGCTCATGGGAAGTTGTTTGGAAATGTGGGTTTTTCAAAATTGGATTTTTCCAAGTTTAGGGTTTTGTGCTTATTGCTTTCCGGGGTCTTACAAATTGTGGCTTTACGTTCAAACCTGCAGATGTTTTTGAATGAAGCCGTTTTGTCTTGGTACCAAAGATTACATGCCAGCAAGGTCCCGGATTTGGGTTTTAGTCGTGCAAAGGTATTTTTGCACAATCACTAATTATGCCTTGCAATTTTGCAATTCTTTGCACCACCAGTTTTGGTACTTCTCTTTCTTGGCTTATCTCAGGTTGACAGTAACTCATTTGGCAAGTACAACTTGGTTTGTGGTTTTCTGCCTTATTCTGCTTTTGTTAAAGAATTAGCTTTATACTCGGACTTTAATCTTTTTAAGAGAAAGTAAAGTAATTATACTCTCGTGAGATGATAATCTTCATAATGACAAGTAAAATATACCCATTTAAATTGAATTCTTTTCGTTTATAGCTTATAATGGGTAATGATCGGGGTACATTACTAGTCCTAAGTGGACTCCAATGATGAATAATTTAAAAACCTTTTAGATGTAAATAAATTCAAACCAAGCATGTAGTAAGCTATAAGGGTCGATCTTAGATAAAGTCATGCCTACCTTAACATTGAACTACTCAAAGACCTAACAAACCCCATCTACTTAAGACATGCTTGAACCTATAAAAAAATCTCATCCTCTTTCAAGGAACCACAGCAATAAAAAGTAGCAAAAAAAAAAAAAAACAACATAAAATTACAAAAACAAAATGATGGGAGTTTTGGTTAGGGTAGAAGGCTTTGGGGCTTGAGTTTTGTAGAAAGGTAGATCTTGGGGAAAGAAATAACATATCAAGAAATAATGGTGTTTTGAACGACAATAGTAAAGGGAAGCCAGTGGTTGCGTTGGACTTTTGGGTGATCAAAAATGATGAAAAAAGGTTGAGGGAAGGAGAACAACATACAAAAAGTGTAGGTGGATCGGACAACAGGATGGTGTTTTTTTGGGGGTTTAAACTTTCGGGTTTCAAGTCTACATCTAGGATAAACCAAGTTTCCTTTTTTTAAAAAAAAAAAACCACTTAGATAGAAGTAAAGAGGATGAAGAGAGGAACCTACAGTTGAAATTTGCAAGCCAAAGGGTGTTGAATGGAAGCAACAGCAACGGTGGCACCAGCCGATTGAGATCTAGGGTCTAGAATGACTTTTTTTTTAAAGAAAAGGGAAATTGTTTTTTGAAGAAAAAAATGTGAAATGAAGTAAAAAAAAAAAAAAAAACTTAGGTTATATAGTGCACTGTTGGCTATATAGTCTATTGTCTATAGTGGATTTTTTTTCTACATCACGTGTCATGTTTGTATTTAAAATCCACGTGTTTACTATAACAACACTAATGGATTAAACTACTTTGTTTCAATTTGAGTTTAATTGATCAAATATTAAATTTAAACAACTTAATTGATTAAAATAAAATATTAAAGACTTAATTGATAAATAAATTTTTGTTTGAGAATCTTTTTCACTCTTAAGCCAAAGAAATTGTCAAACCCACTCCCTTGCATCATCACATGATATCTAGGTATTTTACCAATTTCTTTACATTCTTTATTTTAGTTT